TTCAAAAAAAAAAAAAAACAAAAACAAAAAAACTAATCCATATTTCTATGAGGACATAAACATGGATCTAGAAAGGGAAATTTTCTGCTTATTGGAATATTAGTGGAGGAAATGGATACTATTGAAAGAGTTGTTCCTTTGAGAACAGAACCGAATGTGGAACAAGAACAAGGACTCTCTGACTTCTTGTGCAATCACTATTTCCAACAAGGTTCTGTTCACATCTGCCAAACTAAAATGAAGATATTATGGCTCATTCCAAGTGCCTACTGAAATGAAGCACCCATGGTTGTTGGTTATTGAAAAGAGAAGTAATAAGCAACACTCCACATGGAAAGCATAATAGTGCCTGGGGGCTCCATGAGATCTTGGCCATTTCTATGTATATGTCTTGAAAGTTTTCACCCAGGATCTTGTCCCAGTCATGAATGACTCCTTCAGAAAGTGTAAAATCTTATAGTTTATTAATTACACATTTCTTTTATTCCAATTGTTTGTAAATGTTCTCTATGGGATAATCAACCTATTATTGTTTCAAAGTTATTTGACTTTTGTTCTAACAAAATACTGGACTATTACAACTTAATGGTATTACTAAATTTTGGATACCCCATATGTTCAAGGATGGAATAAGAAAAAACTCTGTCCATCTGTGAATTTTTTGAACCACCATAGGTAGTGATTCGTAGTTGATTGTGTAGGACGAAATGTTAAGTGGCCACAATGCCATGGACCTCATCAATCACTGCAATTTTGGTCGCGCGATTCGAACATCTGTCAAAAATATTTCACATGAATCAGACATGCGCATGTATCAAATCAGAGAACAATTTTTAAAGAAGTTTGATGGATAGTTCTAGAAGACCTGTCCTAATAGAAAACAGGGTAAGGCAAAAAACATACAAGTATTGCATGGCAAGTCTTGATGCTCCATGTCGTTAACATCACGAAGAAACCAGAGAGATATTAAGAAGTTAATTATTGAAAGCAACTCTTTTACGGGTGTGATTTATCGATGTAAATCAAGTTTGCGACTATAGACTACATACACAAAAACAGGTGGTACTTTTCCTCATAAAGCGCCGGATAATCCACTAGTCACATCATCCCATAGGCAAGCATGTTTCTCACATGCTCCAAAAGAATACTAGTCTTTTTGATATCATGAGCATTCAAGTAATTCAAAGAAATATTAAAGGAAATACTTCGTGGATATGACAATGGGCCTTTTTGGCATGTACCAAAATTTCACCCACGCAAAGATCATGAAAAAGGTAATCAAGCATTTAAAAATGAAAATATTTTAGTAGCACAGATCTCGTTTTTGAAATAAGTCGACACGATTCAACATGATTCGGTCATATAAATTAATCCTTTGTCATATATATCAGTCTATTAGTCGTACTGTTCGCATCATTTGACAGTGAACAAGGCGAATGGTCCTACTACTACCACTACTACTAATAATAATAACAGTAATAATAGTAACAATAATCATAATTATTCTACATGATAAGAAATAGCACAATGCATAAGCTCCTAATCTTTGTTAATAATTCCTTCACCATTCCTTGAGGGAGTATACTGTTTGTCCTAGTAAATTGTTTTTGATGAATAATACCATCAAATAGAATGGACAGGTGGACAACAAGGACTTGAAATTATTAGAAATCAAAGCCCTTGTAGCCATTAAATTTGAGAAGAGTAGCCCATGGGCTTCCAATAGATGTTGCGAATTTTGATGTTATACTCCTTGAAATCGCAGCAGGCAGCACAGAGTTCACTACTATAATAATGTAAGCTGTTCATTTCAGGCTATTGCACTTCACGATGTCTAGTACACTTCCAAGAGATTTGAGGATCCTTTCTTGCAATTACTCACCATACCAAACTTATCACCAGTTTACAATCAATGTTTTCACAGCTTTAGTAATTATAAGGGCATTTACAATGATAAAAATAGATACAAACCAGTTCACAATCCCCACCTTGTGAAAATATCTAATATTTTGTCGATATGTCGCAATTCGAGCCTAAAACATTATAAAACCTTCCAGTCGATGGGCCCTCCTTGAACACCTCTAACAAAACCATCCCATCAGACTGGTAGATAGGATTAAAATTTTTATTTGCTTTTCTTTTTTGATGCTTTCCTAGATTATTAGGAGGGGTACACTAAAAATAAGAGCCACCAACTTGGAATGCAATCACTCCAAGCATTCAAAAAATCAACCAACCACCATTACGTTGCCACCATTTTGGGAGGAAGAGTATCCTAAAGCTGCTTCATAATTTGTACAAAATGAGCGGTTCGGATCTTCCAAGCTTGGAATCTACAGTCCAGATTCCCTTTTACCTCCAAAAGTAGTTTGCAGAGGGTCCATAAATATTATTGAAAAGACAAGTACTGCCCGTTCCTACGGTGTTATACATTAAATATTCGTAAAGGAATGTAGAAAGCTTTACCTAACGAGGAGAAATGAAATGTGAACAGGTTTTGGCAAAAAAGAATCACCTTTTCTATTGGGGTTTGAACATTAAACCATTGTGTCATGAAAAGCAAGCGAAGTAGTATAATATTGCTCGTAAGAAGAAAATAAACAAGTAAAATTCTAATAATTATCCAAGGCACTACCCACAGTATAAGTGACTATGGGTTTTTTGCTAGATCTGAATGGACAACTGTGATAACTTCAGTCACAATGTCACAAATTAGCTCATGAGTCTTAGATCTTATTCAACAACCAAGAGTACTTTGTTTTCCTTTTATGTTTCTATTGATCATTCTGTAGTGAATTTTGAGCCATGCACACCTCAAACAGGGGCACAGATGATTAAAATGATAAAAAATATTTGTGATCAGGAAAAATGATGGGAATACCCTTTGACACTTCTAGGGGCTTTTTAGTTATTTATTTTATCAGAAATATGGAATTCAAAATAAGTATATTTGGGAGAACCTAGATTTGTCTCCACTAAGTGATAAGATGAGAGAAAGTAAACTTAAGTGGACTGGCCACGTGCAACATAGACTAGTATACCACCTATTAGGAGGTATAAGTTGTTTTAAGTGGAAAGTTTAAAAAAGGCAAGGAATAGACCTAAGAGGACGTGATTGAAAGCAATGAGAAAAATATGGTGACTTGTTACTTCACTGAAGGTATGTCATGGATTGAGCAAAACGCTAAACCAGTATTCGTGTAGCCGACCCTAAATAATTGAAACAAGACTTTGATGATGATGATAATGATGAAGATGTTTTTATCAGAAATATTTTTTCTAATTTCTCTTGGTGTGATGCAGTAAGGTAACGATACGCATCAAATTTTTATAGAAAATATTTCGTTAAAAAAAATTTAGATCCAAAGAGCATTCTAAGGTGACATCATGACAAGATCAATCCCAGCCTTCTATTCGGATCAAACGACTAGAAAGCGGTGTCACATACTCTACAAGTGGATGGTACCACATGTAAAGTTTTCCCATAACTGCTTACGTACCATTTCTTATTCTCTCTCAAAAGTATCATGATAGGAAATCAAAACTAATAAAACAGAGGAAAAATTATAAATATCCTTCAAAATGAACTTTATAGATATTCTGCCCCCCCAATATTTTTACTATCACACATATCACCCAGTTACTGTTTTTCTTGTTTTTATCCCCCATAAAAAAATCATTGTTTTAAAGACTAAACTACCCTTTCCCTCCTTTACCCTATCTATTAAATCTCTCTCTCAGTCTCTATCTCTAGCCACCATCTCTCTCTCTTTCTCTCTCTACCTGCACACCTCTCTTTCTCTCTACTGGCCCCCTATATCTCTCTACCTGGGTAGAGAGAGGGCGGGTAGAATGAAAAAAAAAAAGAGAGATGGCATGTAGAGAGAGAAAAAGGGTAGGTAGTGAGAGAGAGGCGGGCTGAGAGTAATCGAGAGAGATTTAATAAGTATGATATGTGAGGGAAATGATAGTTTAGTCTTTAAAACAATGATTTTTGACTGGGGGTAAAAGCAAAAAAAACCAATAATTGAATCGTGGGTCTGATACTAAAAGTAGTAAGGGACATAATTCCTACAAAGTTTAATTTGGGGGCATTCATAATTACCCAAAAATGTATGATTTCCACCCATAAGAATATTTCCATATCCAGTCTAATCTTTCTATCCTATCAAAAATAATTTGCGAAGTCCAACGTCCACATAATGTCACCTACCATTTGTCAATACAGGAAAAGGGCCAACCAAACAAATGCTTGGTTGAACTTCAGAAGAAAAAAATGCACAAATAGTAATTGCCATCCGTAGTTAGTTGATCACGTGCATGAGATAGAGACTCAAAAGAGCAAAGAAAGTAAGGTGGCAACGTGATTTGATGAGCGTTACCATTCCACCATAAACTTTAGTAAATTATACACTAAAATCCCTAAAATTATGATTCACGTGCCAACCTTACTACATTCATTATTTTAAGCCACATCATTATTTTTACGCACAAAATAACACCTTACTACATTCATTATTTTAAGCCACATCATTATTTTTACGCACAAAATAACCTCAAGTCTCTCCCCCCCCCNNNCTCTCTACCTATCCTGTCTA